GCCAAGTCTGTGTCTGAACACAGGCAATCTGGCTTTAGAACTCCCGTTTTTAACTACTACCCCGTACAGCATACTGTATGTGAGGGTGTTTTGCTGCAAGATTCAACGAGGAACCTGGGCCTACCCTCCTGGGCCATGTAGCTGCTTTAAGTGAACACTAAAACTTTGAACTGATTGTATCTAGCCCATCCTTGGTGGACATGCTAACAAAGTTGGTTTTCCCTGAAGCACACAGAGGGCCATGGGCACTGCATTTAGGAGGGAGATCTTAGGAGCTTATACTCCTCCAAGGGGGAACTTTCTAGAGCTCCATTTCTATGAGTGGCTTTGCTGGGCTCTCCCTGCAGAATCCTTGCATTCGACTTGTTTTAAGAGTCAGCTTTCATCTCATTTCGCAGTGAGGTAAATTCACTGCGAAAGTAGGATAATATACTTGAGCTGGGGCAAAGTTAAGGGCTTCCTGGTTCCCAAGCCTGTACTATTACCCCTTCATCAGGATTTCACCTAAGGAAATTTCCCCAAAGATTGTACAGAACAGAGGGGAAAGGGAAAGGCCCATTAGAGCAGGATGCACACCTTGCATAGTCCTGCTCAGCCTGATTCCTATTTAGACAAGTGAGGAATGATAATAACATGAGGTGGTGTTAATATGGGACAGGTGCAGGGAACCAACCTGATCCAACATACAGGGAACACCCTCCAGGAGAACTCATGTCTTACATTGTGGAAATTATGCAGGTGGCAGGTGTCTAGCATCTGGACTCTTTTAGGAGTAATTGGAGCCTGAAGAGTGATGAAGTCAGAGATGTATCTCGGAATTTTCCTGGCTATAATAGGGTAAAAGATCAGGAAGCAGATGAGAAACAAAAGGAGCAGTGAGAAGTGATGTGCAGGCCAGTGATTGAATGGGAAGGGAAATTAAGGATAGCTCCATGAGTTTTGGCTTTGGCAACTAAAAGACTAGTGATACCATTAGTGGAGGCGAAGGTGGACTGGAAATGAGGGTGATACATTCAGTACAGTAGAAATATATTGTTTGGAGTGATGTCATACAGAGATGTGAAGTTCATAGTTAGCTATTTGGGTCTGGAACTCAGGGACAAGGGCTGCGATGGAGATATAGCTTTGAGAAATATCAACTGTGGGGATTGATTGGAACCATGTAGTGGATGGATAAGACTGACCAAAGAGAGTGTGTTGGTTTCCCTCATGGCAAAGGAAAAGAAACTGCAATAGAAACTGAGTGGAGAAAGAGATTAAAACCAGAGGAGTGTAGGGTCATAGAATTTAAGGATAAAAGAGCAACTGAGAAGGAGAGAGAGATTATCAATGATAAATGTTGAAAAGTTAAGCAAGATTAAGACTAGATCCTTGATGTCCTTGATGAGGGCAATGTAAGTAAAGAGGTAAGGCAGAAATCAAAACTGAAGGGGACTGAGAAATGATGGGAAAGATAAAGCAATGGAATGTTCAAACACAGACCACTTTTTCTAAGAGATTTGGCTATTAAGGGATCAAGGAAAGAAGATGGTAGCTGGAGGGAAGCAGAGTCCTTGGGAGCTGACAGATATCACGTTGATGTTTGCTCTTTCTTCAGTGTAGGAGGCACCTAGGAGAACAAAGAGGGGGTGAGGAATGGGAGATCTGGGGGCATACAAGAGATTTGGAATTTGGTGTTGGGGAGAACTAAGAAAGAGCAGACCTGTCAAGCCTAGAACTGCCGGATGGCTCTGAGGATCTAGTTAAGGTTGGCAGTCTATTTAACACTGTGATTTCTGTGGTTGTAAGATTTTGTCCAACAGCATTGACAGCAAGGAGAAGGCTCAGAGAAGATAGAAGGTTGTCTGGAAAGGTGCAGCATCACCAGGCAGGTGGAGCACTGCCAGGAAGGTGTGACTGTGTAAGGGATGTAAGTATATTGAGAAGAATGTTATGGAATGATGGACCCTGGACTCTTAGCTGATGGGGAAGGAAGTGAAAACTAAAAGGAGTTGATAAATAGAACAAAGTAGAGAGACAACTGGACTGGAAGTTTCCACAGACCAGAAAACAGTAGGAGGAATTCAGAGATTAGCTATAGGACAGGTCAGAGATCAGTGTCTGAAGTTATACATAATTAGGGATGGAGTTTTTTTTTTTTTAATAGTACTGGAGAGTGAACCCAGGGATTTGCACATGCTAGGCAAACTCTCTACCAGTGAGCTGTGTCCCAACCCTTTTTTTTTTTAAATTTATTTTTTAGGTGTAGATGGACACAACACAATACCTTTATTTTTATGTGGTGCTGAGGATTGAACCTGGGCCTCACCCGTGCTAGACACGCACTCTACTGCTGAGCCACAATCCCAGCCCTTCCCTTTTTATTTTGAGACAGGGTCTTGTTAAGTTGCTTCAAACTTGTGATCCTCCTGCCTCAGCTTCCCTTAGCCAGGATTACAGGTGTGCACCACTTGCCCCACAAGATGGAGTACCTCTGTGGTGATACAGAGGTCCTCGGAATAGAGGGCTGAAGAGGCTTTGGAAGGGAAAGCCTATGGAGATGACAATGGCCTGGAGCCAAAGTGACCAATTACTCGAGATAAGGGCTAGAACCAGAGCTACTACATTTTACTGCTCTTGTCCAAATCGCTGGTGTCTGGGCCACACCAGCTGCACCAGTCAAAAGTATAAGGCCCTATTCTAGATGTGGGTCCACTCACATCAAGGTTCTAAGAGCCCAAAGCTCCACATTTGAAAGCTTCAGAATTTTGTAGGTCTAGCACCTGTTTTTCTCTCCTTATCTAGCCCTGGCATGTTCAATTTAGTCTCCTCCCCAACTCTGAATCACCTTTTTTTTTTTTTTTCTCCTTTGTGCCTATTATAACTTAGTCCCATTATCACATGGTCCAGTTCTGACTCATTGTGGGAGGGGACTACACAGGAGGCAGTGATATCTAGAGCCCATCTTGGACTCTTAACACAAGTCTCTTCTGTTTTTATTTTGTAATTTGTCTCTCTGTAAGCTCTGTTTCCATTTCCACCCATGTGATAATGACTTTCAGAAGTCTATATTCAGCTCAGACCTCTACACTGAACCTGTCTGTCCAACTGCTATGTTGACACCTCTACTGGGGGTTCTCCAGAGGAACAGAATTAGTGGGCTATATATAGCTATAGGACAGGGATTTATTAGGCAAATTGTCACACATAATTATGGAGGTGGAGAAATCCCATCTATAAGATGTAGAACCAAGGAAGCCAGTAGTGTGGTTCAGTCAAGTCCATTTTTGACTTGGACTTGGCCTTGAGTCAGGGAGACTGTTATTGTGTAATTCCTGGTCTGAGGCTGAAGTCCTGAAAAATTGAGGAGTCACTAGTGAAACTACCAGAGTTAAAAGGCTGGAAAACGTGGAATTTTGATGCCAAAGGCAGGAGAAAAAATGATGTCTCAGTTCTGGAGGAGAGAGAGTGAATTTCTCTTTCCTTTGTCTTTTTGTTTTATCCAGCCTCTCAGCTGATTAGATGGTGCCCATCCACACTGAGTGAGGGCAGATCTTCCTCACTCTTTCCAGTAATTAAAATGTCAGTCTATACTGGAAACACTTTATAGACATATATACATAAATAAAGTTTTACCACCTTTATTTGGGTATGTCTTAATTCAGTCAAGGTGACATTCAAAACCAGCATCACAATATTCTACAAAGACGTCTCAAAGGTACCTGAAATTCAGCTTGTCTAAGACAGAGATTGTAATCAGTGTTCTTTTCCAAACCAGACTTCCTTCCAGCATTCTCCATATCTGTGAATGTCTCCACTATTCATCCCTCCCTCCAAGGCTGAACAGTGGCATCATTCTTGAATCCACCTTATCCATCCTTCACATCCAGTTGGTCACCAAGGCATGATGATTATGTTCTTCATTTCCCTGCAGTCTGCTCTGTTCTCTTCTCATCCCATTTCACACTCCAACTCCATCCTTTCTTGCCCAGATGACTGAGGTTAGTTACACCATAGCTTCATTGGGCCGTCTCTATTTTAATCTTAACTTTAGCAACCAAAAGTGATTTTTTACGAAATGCAAATGTGGTTTTCTGCTAATCTAAACTTTCCACTGTGGCCTGTGAAAAGGGCCCCATGGTTCAGCTCCTTCTATTCTCTCTAATGGCTCTCATTCCTCTCCTTTACTCTCTACACTTTGGATGTCTTGTCTTTTCTTTTTTTTGGGGGGGGGGAGGGAAAAGGGATGTTAAATATACATAACATACATTTTGCTATTCAGTAAAGTTCTATGTATGGCATTTAACATTTTCCTTGTTGTGCAACCATCACCACTATCCATTTTCAGAGCTTTTTCATCTTTCACAAATAAAATTCTGTACCATTAAACACTAAATCCCGGGCTGGGGATGTGGCTCAAGCGGTAGCGCGCCATGCCTGGCATGCGTGCGGCCCGGGTTCGATCCTCAGCACCACGTACCAACAAAGATGTTGTGTCCGCCGAGAACTAAAAAATAAATATTAAAAATTCTCTCTGTCTCTCTCTCCTCTCTCACTCTCTCTTTAAAAGAGAAAGAAACTTGAGAAAAATATATCACTTTCTTTAAAAAAAAATAAACACTAAATCCCCATTCTCCCCTCTCCAGGTTTCTTTCTATCTCTCTAATTTGAGGAGCTTTCTTGCCTTCTACATAGATTTCTTTATACATGCTGATCTCTCATTCTGAAACACACTTCCTCTCTGCCTAGTGACTACTATTTCAGCTCTCCTTTGCCTACTTATTGCTTGCTACTCGGGAATCCTCTGAGTCAAGTTTAGAAGTGCCTGCAAATCCCCCACCCCACCCCACCCCAAATCCTGCTCCTGTCAGCTGAGTAGTTTGTATTTATGCAGGTTTTAATTGTTTTGTGCTCTCACGTATCTAGTCATCCATGGGTGTCTCCGCCCCCATCTGGGGTGTGCCGCTCAGGGGTCGGACTTTGGCACCTCCTCCAGGCTGGCAGTGGGCCGTGTTCTTCGGTTTGCCTATCTGCGGCCTCCCGCCCAGCCGCGCAGACCGCAAAACCCAAGCCCGGGAGAGTCGCTCAGTCAGGCAGAGCCTTCCAGCCTCCAGACGTCGGTCTTGTCCGCTACCCGGCAGAATTCGAGCTTAGACCACGAAGCCTCCTCGCACCTCCAGAGGCGAGATTTGGACCTCAAACCCGCGAGGGTGAGAGTCAGGAGATGGGAAGAGAGTTGGGAAACGCGCGCTCCAGTCACGCCCCCTCAGCATTTGGGTCTCAGCCCTTTAAGAACGCTTCAATTCCGGACTCTGCAGGGACTGGGCTGTGAAGGCGCGCCAGGATTGGTCTGTTTGGGTGCGGGTGTCGCCTAGCAGTAGCGAATGGGAACTCGTGGATGGCGCGTGCGCACCATTGCCTACCTGCGCCCGGGCCACCGGTGTCCTGCTCCGGGTCCTCCCGATGGGCTAAGGTTGCCGAGGAGGCGGCGGGCGGCGCGGCCAAACTGGTGGGCGCCGACTTCTGAAGGCCGCCGTCGGGGCGAGGTGAGGGCCGCCGGCGGAGGCGGGCGCGAGGTCCGTTAGCCGAAAACAGGCGGGGTCGGGTGTGGCGCAGGGCGGGCCTGGAGGTGGAGGCGGCCCGGGCTCGCCCCGCCCTCTCCCTGGCTAGACCCGTAGGGCTTCGTGGGGCCCTTGGGGTTTCCCGAGTCCTTGGTCCCCTTTCTCCCGCCAGCGGATCTCTGGACCCCTGGACAAATCCTGGCGCTCGCCTGAGAGTGTCTTCGACTGACAGATGCGCGCCCAGCCCTGCCCTCAGTGGGAGGAGTATCCTAGGAGAGGGAGGAGACGATTGTTTCCTTAAGTATCCACAAAGCTTATTGGCTACTCGAATAGCAGACTTCCCCTTAGCGTGTCTTTAGAGTTGCACTACCAAATGCTGAATACCCTGGACCAGCTTTTCGGAACATCAGGTGTAGGATGTTTCATTTCAGGTTTTGTGTCCATTACTTAGACCTCCAGAGCCAGAAAATTAGAGCGTTCCAGAGAAGCATTAGGTTTGGAGAAATCAAAGCCACGAAAGAATGTTCCCGATGGTGAAACTAATGGGTGAAATTTGTGACATTATGGGGGGGGGGGGAATCACAATTCAGAGCCAATGGATAGGGTAAATCTTAATTTTTTTTTATTGGTGCGTTATAGTTGTGCATACTGATGGGATCTGTTACATATTCTTACATGCACACAATAGAATCTTAAGTTTTGCAAAGAATTGATTCTGTTAAAGAAAATTTTAGTAAAATAAAATGGAAATAGTTGGAAGTGATTTAACATCGCTAAATAAAAATAAACTGGCAGTAGTTTCCTCAGGAAAATATTTGTAAACAATATTGTTAAACATCTAATTTAATTGTATTTACGACTTAGAGGACAACTTGAGGTCCCATTGTTTTTTAGTCCTAGAAGGAATTTAGAGATCAGCTGTATCCCAAAGATGACTAATGGTCAGAAGAATATTGACTAAGGGAATCTAGTGGGTAAGGGCAGTTCTTAACAAGTGTAACCTTAGTCTCCTTTTCTACCAACAAGTATCGATGATTATTGTTGTTGATGTGTGTGTTGTGTGTGTGTGTGTGTGTGTGTGTGTGTGTGTTTTGATGCTCTAGGAGAAAGAATTATTTAGAGAAATGGAGTAGCTGAAATGGAGTAGCTAAATTGGATTTAGAGAGGCAGGATGTGATGGAAAGATCATATGAGGCAAGTTTGAGTTTGAATCCTAGTTCTACCTCTTAAGCCTGAGAGCTGAGTTTTCCCACATATCCAGTGTAGTTTATGTCTGTAACATAGATAGTTATGAGCAGTTAACAATATTATCAATATAAAAAAGTTCCTAGCACAGTGCCTGGCATATGCACTTGTACCTCAGTATCCTCAGAGGATTGTGCTCAATACCCTTATATAAAATGGCATATACAGTGTGTATAATTTATACACATTGTCCTGTATACTTCAAAATCATCTCTAGATTTCTTATATAAAATAGTAAAACACTATGTTATATAGTACCATTTAGGGAATAATGACAGGAAGAAAAGTCTGTAAATGTTTAGTATACATGCAGTTTTTCATAATATTTTGCATCTGAGATTGGTTGATCTGCTGAATTGATACCCATAGATACAGAAGGATGACTATAATATTAATTCCTATCAAGTTCAGTTTCATACTCTTCTAAGTTCTTAATAAGTATCATAATTGACCTCTATTTTCCTCTCCATCCCATCTCCAAGTTACCCAGAGGATCTACAAATTAGGTGACCAGTATCCCAGTCCTGTGGCTATAGGAGAATCCATTTGGGGGGTGACACAATTCAAGTTTTGTCTTCTATATGATATATTTGAAGAGTGGGAGATACACCTTATGGTAAATAATTGTAACAAATTTGTGTGCCAAATTAAACTTATTTTTCTAGTTTAAATTTCTATTTTGCAGTGCCCAGTCATCTCTCACAGGCCCTCTCCCCGTATGTGGTAGGGATTTAGCGGTAGGATTTTAGGGCAAAAAAAGGAGTGGGAATAACAGGAACAAGAGTGGCATAAAGTTCTTACTAATCTATGAATAGATGATTGGAAGTGGTAGAGAAAATGCTAGAGGCAGATTAAAATACAAAACTTAGTAATATGGAAAAACACATATGGATGCTGTGTATTTGATTACTACTTCACATTTTTACCTAAACAGAATTCCATCTGTATAAACCTTTCTTGTTTTCTAAGTAGAAGATTTATTGTGGAAAAGTGTTCAAAATATAGTTCAGAATTATGGCAAGGGATGTGCACACCTACATTTCTTGTATCAGTGAACAAAAACTAGACAGCCTTCTCATTCACTCATTTGCTTAGTTGTTTTGTCCTTACAGAATTTATACTATTCTTTCTATAATTGTGACCTGATTTTCCAGATTCATACCATTACTTTCCTGTTTTAAATTCAGTATTAAATATCTTCAAGCAGCTTTATTTTATAATATCAAGTACTGATATTATATTATCTTCCAGTTTGAAAATGTCCTATAGTCTTAGAGCTGTTCATTATAAAGCACTCCCTTCAATATCCATTCACAATCAGAACTACAGTGAATTAGTGGTTAAGACAATTGTGATATTGGTGGAAATATTTAAAAATGATATATAAACAAAAATGAAGTATGAGCATTATTTGAGTGGCACATGAAGGACCTTAAGTTAATTCTGTTTTTCAACTTTTATTTATTTATTAGCTTATTTATTTTTTGTGTTGCTGGGGATCAAATGCAGGGCCTCATGCATGTCAGGCAAGAGCTCTACCACCGAGCCACATCCCCAGTCCTCAACTTTTATTTTAAAATAATTATAATCATAGGACGTTACAAAGATAGTGCAGAGAGGTCCCCCAGACCCTTCACCTAGTTTCCCACATTGGGTACATTTTACATAACTATAGTACACCATCAACTCCAAGAAATTGACTTCAGTATAAAGTATATATATCATACTATGCCATCTTATTATGTATTAATGTCTGTAATCACCACCACAATCCAGATACCAAATTATTCTGTCACCACAAAGATTATCCTTTTGCCATCCCATCATAGTCATGCTCATTTCCATCCTCCTCACCATCCTGTTCTCCATCCATGATTCTGTTATTTTTAGAAAGTTACATAAAAGGATTCATGTACTATGTCACCTTTGATGTTGACCTTTTTCAATCAGTACAATGCTCTTGAGATCCATCCTAGTTGTATCAATAATTAATTCTCTTTTATTGCTGCATACCATTTTTCATGGTATGAATGTACTATGATTTAACCATTCACAATTTGTAGGGCATTTTGTTCACTTCCAGTTTTTGATTGCTACAAATAAAGCTGTAATGAGCAGTTATGCTCAGGTTTTTGTGTAGGGGACATAAGTTTTTATTTCTCTGGGATAAATGCCAGAGTGGAATTGTAGTGACATCCCTTATTTTATTCCTGACATTGGTAATTTGGTTTTTCTTATTTTCTGGTTGTCAGTTTTGGTAGAGGTTTGTTAATTTTATTGATCTTTCCAAAGGGTCAGCTTTTTGTATCATGGATTTTCTCTGTTTTTTTTTTTTTTTGTTGTTGTTGTTTGTTTTCATTTTCATCTCTATTGTTTCCTTCCTTCTTCCTGCTTTGGATTTGTTTTCTAATTTCTTGACATGTGAGCCTAACCTATTGTTTTGAGACTTTTTTTTTTCTGTTATAAGCATTTAGTACTGTAGATTCTTCTCTCAGTACTGCTTTAGCTGTGAACCACAAAATTTGATATATTTCCATTATTATCCAGCTTTATAAAAGTGGGGAGTACTGGGAATTGAACCCAGGGACACTGTTATGGTTTGGATATTAGGTGTCCCCTTATCTCATGTGTGAGACAAGGCAAGAATATCAGAGGTGAAATAATTGAATTATGAGAGTCTTGACCCAATCAGTGAACTAATCCCCTGATTGAGATTAACTGAGTAGTATTTATAGGCTGGTAGGATATGACTGGAGGAGATGTGCTTTGGCAGCATGCATTTGGGGTATATAATTTGTATCTGGTGAGTGGAGTCTCTCTCTGCTTCTTGGCCATGTCCTGGGTCATTTCCCTTCACCACACTGTACCGCCATGTTGTTCTGCCTCACCTTGAGCCCCGAGGAATGGGGCTGGCTCTCTGTGGACTAAGACCTCTGAAACTGTGAGCCCCCAAATAAACTTTTCCTTCTTAAATTGTTCTTTTCAGGTCTTTTAGTCATAGCAGTGAAAAAGCTGACTAAAATAGACACTCAACCACTGAGTTATATCTGTAGACCTTTTTATTTTTTATTTTGAAACATGGTGTCACTAAATCAAAGCTGGTCTGGAGTTCACAAAGCTCCTGCCTCAGGCTCTTGAGTAGTGGTTATTACAAGAGTGTGCCACCATACCTACCATCATTGTATTTTTACAAATTTCATTGAGACTTTCTTTTTGGTCCCTATATTATATGTGTGTTTAGTTTTCAGGCATTTGGAGATTTTCATTCCCTTTTCATTGTTAATTTCTTGGAAAACACTGTGGTCATAGAACACACTCCATATGAATTCTTTGAAATTTATTAAGGTTTATTTTAAATCCCAGGATAAGGTCTCTATGGGTGCTTACAGGTAATTCTGCTGTTGTTGGAGGGAATATTTTATCAATGTTGATTATATGCTTTGGTTGATAATGTTGTTGAGTTCTGTATCTTTGCTGATTTTCGGTTTAGTTTTATTTTGGGGGAAAAGGTGTTAAAGTCTCTAACTATAACTCTGGATTTGTCTAATTTTCATTTTACTTTATCAGTTTTTACTTCACCTATATGCATCTCTGTTGTTTGGTGCATACGTGGTTGGTTAGGACTATTATGTCTTTTTCATGGATTTATTCTTTTATTATTATGTAATATTACTGTCTTTCCCTGGAAATTATCTTTGCTCTGAAGTCAGCTTTATCTGATAGTAATATAACTCTTACAT